CTTGAGTGGCAAGGGGAATTGAAGACATTCCGAAGTTGTGTTGGTGTGTTTTTCTTTGAGTCAGATTTAATCAAGTAGGATCATGCAAAGAGGGTGGAATCAAGGCTGCCCTCAGCACTTTCCCCTTCTCATAATGTGTAACAGGCTTTAGACTATGCTCAATAGACCGCGTCTTGCATTATGCTATTAACCCACAACCCACACGTTCGCTTATCAGGCAAAACTGATTCGTGTATGCCATGTGCCCAGTTGTATCGTGTTCTCATTTTACCATTTGGTCTCTCTATGATTCATATGTATTTATATCATTACCATAACGGTGTCAGTGTTTCTTCTCTACCTGGTAGTCGTATACTGTCCAGTTTCTCAAAAAAGTGTAGTGAGATAAAAATGCATCCCATCAAATAATGTGAATGTGTATGTAGCCCCCATTTGTAAATTGATGTGATATGTGGTGAGCTTTAAAACGCTTTATAATGCCAAATTGTTTGAAATCTTATCATTTACTGAGGAGCCTGATTGAGACACAGACAGATTCTGACGGTTGCATTTTTTTGGCGAGTCAAAATATGTCCCTCATGATAGCTCAAATTTGATGGCAGTCGTAAAAGATAAGGGGCAGAGGAGCATTGAGACCTTTGGATGGTAAAAAAAACAGATTGCAAACAATATGACTTTTAACTGCAGAAAAAACTTTATCAATTCACAATGTTTTAAAATCAACTTGCGGTGTTGCCATCGTCGGTGTGGAAGCAATGGTGCAGTGGTTATGGTTCACGCAGTGCACCATAAACCACGCTACATTAATGTAATTCCTGGCAATGGATACCATCAGTGGCAAGTGAGATCTAAAATAGGCCTGTCCTTCCCCCCACCCACCCCCACCAACTCCACCAACCCACGCTGACCGCTTGGGTGAAGTATGGTCAAACAACTCCCATGACTGACATGCCATCGGGAGGCCTTTAACCACCAGTGGGTTGACAAAGAGGTGTAAATTAATGTTGTCAGTTGTATTACCATCTTCATTAATGTTACTCCATTTGGGATAGGGGGGGGGGACAATGAGTTCTGCATGCTGGTGCAGATGTATGGGCATGAACCTCAAAATAAATTACAACTTTTCTTCGTCTCTGGGAACATTGGCAGTAATGACAGGAACATTTAGTGCCCAATTATTTCAACCACGACTGTTAGTTTTAGGAACATCATGTACGCCAATAGATTACAAACAGTGAGCTATACACGTATTTTTTTGATAAAAAATGATGTCAAATATGCGTTTATCTTTTTTTTATATTACAGACGGTGATTTTGAACAGCTCCAGAAATGTTTCCGCATCGCAAATCAAAAGGCGCATGAAATGATAATTGATGTACATCGTGTTCGCACTCCTGATTGAATACAAACTGTTCGCCTCGCCAGGAGTGTAAAAACTGGGCCTGAATACTCACTGTTCTCAAAAAATCTTTCCTCTCCTGCTGTGAACACTTTCATCTCCTTTTGTCATTGATATATATGAACAACTTAAAGTGAGAACAATTTACGTTAGTACTTACAGTTGCTTATTTATTTATGTACTATTTCCCCGCAACGTGAATACATGGCATGCCAGTCCTGAATGTGGCACCCTATATTATCGTGTCAACTATAGCTTTTGCTTATTTTGCAAGAATTTTCAAAGCGGTTTAAATGTACAGCCGGCACCTAGAAAAATAAAATATTGCCGCTAAGTTGCTGTTGCTCTGCTTATTTATGGCTGCTCTCTATCCTGTTGTGTCTGACCGTGTGTGGTTGTTATTTTTGGCCAAATCGTTAACTTATGCCCAGACATCCAGAGGCACCAAAAAACCGTACAACGTGGCGATTGCACCTGCAGTCGAGTACGACTCCAGACAGTGGAGTAGAATTGTACCGAGCTATTCCTTCACCAAGCTGGTCAGACGGATTGGTGGGTGAAAGCTTCAAGTATAGACACAGGAGTATAGAAGTACAGTGCATCAATGTATGTCTGCACTGCCCACAAAACTCACACTACCATTACGGGAATATATGCTATGCGCATACAGTATTGCTTATTTCCAATCATGGTGGGCCTCGTTTAGGGGCTAGAGTTTAACTCGGTTATTCCATCATCAGTTTGGCAAAACCTGTTGTCAATTTTTCTCGGGATATTCCTCGGCACGTTCTCGCCATAGCAGTGAGCACGATGTCTCGAATTCACGTGCGTCGATCCTTGAGTGTCTCCACCTGTTTGTCCCCTCACGTGTTTCCAGTTTACGTTAGTGATTGGACTGCCGGAGTTGAGGCACAAACCCATAATCAGCAAACGTTTTCTTATTAAATTGGCCCAATTGTAAGCAAAGGAAAATATTTTCCCCGTATTGCGCCTGCAATACATGGTATACCGCATTCTTCGGAAAATAGGACACACCTTAAACTTGTCAGTTATACAAAACAAAGAATGAGCTCACACATGCACCTACCGAATTACGAGACGCATCCCCCAACTTTCGTTTAAATTTACAGAATGGGGGGGGGGAGCCATCTGATAATCTGAGATATATGATGACCTCATTACAAACCCCAATGATTTTTCAGCCATGAGACACATGCGAGTAAAGTCAAGTGTGTGAAATTTAACAGAAATTGTGCTGACTCGTATAAGGGGAAAAACACACACAATTACACATGCTTTATGCATTGCCATGTTGAATCAGTGTGAGTGAAAATAAAGTACAAATGTTGTGACTGAGGGTTTTCCTGCTCGCTGCCCATGTGTGTTCCATAACCATGACGTGGAATCTTTTCATTTCCCTCACTTTCCTACCGTGCAGTGCTTTTATGATGTTGCGAGCCAACTGCTAAGAGGCACACAGATAAAGCACTCTCGCAGAGCAAAGGTTAAAGCTCAGCGATGTAAACTCAATTCAAGGCTGCAAAAAAGTTTCCTACAGTGAAGCATTTGCTAAGGATATACATTCTGTACCGCGGGAGAATTGTGGCGCGTAGTGGTTAGCGAATTGTGCGTACTATGAACCCGGCAAACCAAGTTCGATTCCTCAGTGATGGCTCAAACAAACAGTGGTGAAAGGATATCTCAACCAAACACGGGTGGTGTCCACCTCCACAATTTAAACTAAACTATTTTTTGGTATTTTACCAGATAAGGCCCACAGGGCCTTTTTATAGAAGTGACCTGGCCACCAATGATAGCTCAACCAAATTGGTTTATCACGTGGAAATGTAGAGCAGCCAAATACTCTCAATGTATGTTTCTAAATGTGGAGAGAAAAACCGGAGGACCCAGAGAAAGATTCACGCGACCACGGGGAGAACATGCAAACTCCAAATATACAGCAGGCAAGAGAGGGTCGGGATCGAACCCATGGCCTCCTGTATACCACACGAGCATGGTGAAGAATGGTCAAACAACCCCCATGACCAACGTTGTGTGGCTATGATGTGCTTTTTTTGTTAGAGAATTTCCGAAAGAGGCGTGGTTAAGGACGCAGCCAGAGAGGGAACGGTTGTGGTGTAGCCTGGAACCGTCGGGAATATTCTGGACGTAAGGCGCGACCGAGGGTGGAGCCAGGCCACGCCGAGAGAGATAAAAGGGAAGCCCCGATCACAGATCCGGGCTGTCTTCAGGCGAAGTGGAACCCAAGTGCTACGTCTTCGTCCCCGTCTTCGACATCGTGGGTCAGTAAAATAAAATAAAAATAAAATAAAAAATCACGACGTTTCGGAGGCAACACAAGCTTCCGTCTTCAGGTGGTACCGTCACAGCCACGACGGCTGTATCAAGTAAATGAGAGATTGTAGGAGCTACCACTCCGTTTATATAATGGTTGAAGATGGTGGTATATAAACGGAGTGGTAGCTCCTACAATCTCTCATTTACTTGATACAGCCGTCGTGGCTGTGACGGTACCACCTGAAGACGGAAGCTTGTGTTGCCTCCGAAACGTCGTGATTTTTTTATTTTATTTTTATTTTATTTTACTTTTTAATGTTTTTACCTACGTGACTTTACCGAAAAAACCTAAGAATATGAATCATTGCAGTCACAAAAGCTTCAAATCTAGAATCGTGGGTCAGGTGGCACGTTGGCTGCTGACCCAATTATAGTTATCCCGTATGCAAGAGAAATAGGTGTATTGTGGTCCTATGCGTAACAAGAGTGAGAATATGTGTATTTAGTCCCGTGTGTAACGGTGTTGCATAAAGTGTCGAATAAACGTTGTTGTCTCCTAAATAGTGTCTCTGAATTACTCACTACATATGTACTGTATTATATGTTGTGTATATGTGCATGCCTATAGACACACATGCACAGGTACACGCTTGCTAGAAAAGCATTGTTTTATTCTGAAATGTTGAACTGGGTCTGCCACTAATTCGGGTAAAACTTCAGGTACTGACTTTGATACAGAGAAGCTCGGCTTTAGGTACATCCTCTTTAAACGTGGCAGAAAATTGCGCACGTGACATATTCAAGCATGGACACATGTGGAAACTTGGGATTACTTCATAGAAACACTGTATAAAACAGTAATTTATCAAGATTCCATCATGGCCAAAGCTGCTGATGCCACCACACCTCACGAAGGCGTTCTACCCTCTGACAGATCCCCCAGCTGCTGCACAGGCGACACGCGGCCCCCAATCTCGATAACTGGACCCTCCACAGTAACCTTTCAAGCCCAATGTGTGACACATTAACTCCGGAGTGCCCTACGTCTATTACTGAATATAGAAATGGTTATTGTGAACACTCACTCCTCTCGCTATACTTTCCAGGTGGCACCATACCTCAGAGGTCGCAACCGGGTACCCGATACCCGTACCCTACCCGATACCCGTACCCTACCCAATACCCGGCTACCCGGGCCGGGTACGGGTAGCCGTTTACGACCCTGGTGCGGCCAGGTACGGATAGGCCGTGAGTCACTGGTGAGTAGCCGTTTGTCACTCATTTCGGGTAGGGTACGGGTAGGGAACGGCTACCCGTACCCGGGGTACGGGTACCCATTTGCGACACTGGTGCGGCCGGGTACGGGTACGGGTAAGGAATCAAAACCCGTTTGCGACCTCTGCCATACCTGCACACTTCCTCCAGCCTTTTCGCGATTACTACGCCGTGCAGTAGGTCATCCTCGTCTCACCTCTTGCGTAGGACTGGGATTATGTCCTCTTCCCGGGTGTGACGAGAGCTGTTCTGCCTTTTTGCCTGGGGCGGCTGTCTTGGCAGACACACGAGTCCTCCTCGAACTTTCGCTGCTCCTGCCCCGCCTCCACCAGCATTGCCAAGGCAAAGTGATCCAAGAGAGTGGTGGCGGGAGAGAAAGATGAATCAGGACGGAGTGGCGAGAAAGGTGAAGGTGTTTGCTTGTGAAGCAGATTTGGATCTCGTGTTCATGTTGCAAAAGGACAGTGCTGGCCAAAGAAAAAAGCATGTGTTCTGATAAGTTTCCAACGTTGTGTTTTTTTACGTCTCTCGAGAAGCCAGTGAAATCGTCATCCACAATTAAATCAATGTGGCTCCCACTGACTATTAATACCCTGAAATGAATCATACCACCCCATCTACCACCATTAAGAATTCCGACAGTTTCCCATAATTGGGTCCGTAGTAAAGCAGCATTATTGCACTGGTAGCCTCTATATTTAAAATGTGCTTTTGGCATGAAATTGATGAGTCTCGCCTCAAGTAACGAATTAAGCTTTTGCCACGCCGCATGTCCTCTGTTTGATCAAAAAAAAAAATCGGTAATGACGGCGCAGCCCTGCAAATGCTTGGTCATGTCACTGCTGGCAGAAGGGCATCCCACTGGGATTTTTGCACACAGCGTTGGTGTACGGTGCTTTTTCTGGAAGATTTTTGCAGTTTTTTCCTGGATTTTTCTGTTTGCGCATAGTCACTTTAAGATGTTTTCTTGTTCATGTTTTTGTTTTTTTGTTTGTTGCGGTTGCACCCGATTCAAGAGCCGAATGGCTCACAGAGCTATACCAAATAAATGAAACTGAAAAACTGAAACTGAAAACCACTAGAGGAAACCATAGATAGCTCGGTCTACTCTTCCATACTGGCCATATGTCTCGAAAGATGTAGAGGTGCCCACACTTCATCCCACTACGTGCAACTACCGATGGGCTGACTGTGGTGTACCCACCTGTAGAATTGGGCGAACAGAGACAAGGAGATTGAAGAATCTCGCCCGTTGCATCGCAGTTCAACTGCCACGTCAGTGAATCAAACAGGCAAGCTTTGTATTGCAAGCGCAGCATGCCCAACCGTTAGACCTAGGCACAATCCTCTTTGATGATCCTAAAATGACGGAGGATTTCTTACACTTTACGTTCTCCGTGTTTAATCATTTTCAGATACACCACCACGGCCGTCGTCATCCTAGGGCGGAGGCAGAGACTGCACAGTTTGTTACTTGACCTGTGTTATTTTGACAGGGCAAGACCATTAGACCTGAGAGATTGTTTACGTACGTACGAGGACTCGAAAGAATTAATCAAATCATAAAATCGATGGCTCGGCCATAGCTTGACGGGTAGCATGAGGTTGGAAATGATGTGGCCAATTTCCTGGCATGACAAATGAGAACAAATGGGCAATCGCGGGAAAATTATTAAATCAGATAGTCAATTGCGACAATGTATTCATTTGTTTTGTTTATCTACACTGTAGCATACACCCTCGTGCTGGAATGTTCAGTGGTGTGGCAAAACTGTGCGGTATTTTAACAGTCGTTTAACCAACAGCTGTTCACGTTCATTGAGGGTGTTGTGCAATTTCTTTTGTGTTTTATACCGGTAAAAAATGAATTTCATGAAAAAATAATGTACAGTAGAAACACCCCTATAAAACACGGCATATTCCACAATTCGTAGATGTGAGACACCGCCAGATTTAGTGTCTCACACAATTTAATTTAGTCAGGCACGATATTATTTTAAGGGTCATGTTGATCAAAGCTTCCCAAGTCATCGAAAATTAGATACCCCGGAGTTCCAGATTGGGGAATGCGTTTGAACGTGGGAAAACTTGAAGTTCAGTTAATTTTTGTGACGATATAATTGTTTTACTGTACCAACTGAAAGTACAGACAGATTCTGCAAATCAGTGAAGGTGTGGTTTAAAAATGCCCTATTAGTGGAGGTGTATGACATTTTTGCAATGGTACATGGTTGTTAATGTCCAGGATGGTAAGCTTGTGCCACATTAAAGTGAATGTTTCGTGTAATGCTGTACCCACAGTGTGGTCCACTTAGAAAAATGCCTTGTATTTACATTATGCAGAATTCTGCAATGGTTAACTGCAAGGGAAATAAATCTGGCTAAGTCGTGTGTGGCCCCATGTTTGCACAGGGCGGCGTGTCCTGTAGAGGTGTATTGAAGCATGTTCAGTGTAGGAATTCAACAGCCCTTTAAGGACATGGTACACCAAAGCTCTTCATGCTAGACGACGAGTGACTTTCAAATGTTTCGTCTGCTTCCCTTGCGTTACGTTAATTTTCACAGGAAATTTGTAAAATGTTACGTATTAATACCACAAAGAGTACGTAACATTTCCAATTTCTAAGCGCAAAGCATTGTTCCAGCCTCTCCAATTCCGTGGTCATTTCTGTACAGCCATCGTGTCAAAACAGTGAACTGTAACGTCTCTCGCCATGCCCGGTAAAACATTTTGTAGAATTGCTTTTTTTTATCGGAGCTGCGGAGGCTTGTGTAGACATCAGGTATCACCTTGACAAATTGTCCGCGTCGTTTCCGAAGGCTGCATACAGCTCGGCTAGACGTGAGAGAGACGCATGCAATGCTCGTCTCCTTCGCCGCAACACGGGCAGTATTGGCCCTGAGAAAAAGTGCAATTAAATCATTACGCCCTCTCCTCTAAGTCTGCCATGAGCCGATTAAGAAGCATATGGTAGTACACGCAGCGAAAACGAGCTGGATGTATCAGCACTTTAGTTTGTCTCTCTGCCAAGCAAATGATGTTAGGAGGCCAGAGGCGGTCATCTGTTCGTTGAGGCGGATTGTGGCGGAGATGTCCTCCAGACATCGTGGACTGGAGGACCTTAGGCCTCCATTTCCCTTTAGGTTGTTATCACAATGCAGGCACCTTCTGTCATTTCTAATAAAGACACGTCTGAGGCTAGTTTCACTTTCTTTTCCATCACTCGTTTGTGGATGGGGGTTTTTTCCCCCCCATTAACAAACAAACAGGAAAGCCCAAGGATCAGAAGGTTTCTGAGAGAGAAATGTTTTGGGGGGAAAAAAATTGCTGGGCGACTGAGCCACTAAATTGAGTAAACAAAGCCTTCAACAGCAAAATATAAAACTTATCTGACAGCACCTTTCATTACCAGGCATTGCATTGCAGTGTCATTTCAAAAAGCTGACGCAACCTTTGAAAAAGATAAACATTTACTTAACAGCAAACAAAATTAATTATTCTTCATTATTGAGAACTTATTCCTCATAATGAAATGTGTTTACAGTACTATTAATAACAAGCTCGGTGGCTCAGCGGGAGAGCGAGTGGCTCGCTATTTTCAAGTTTGCGAGTTCTAATCCTGATTGGGGGGGTTGAGAGTTGACAGCCCATCATCTCTTGCGATCAATCAAATGAGTTCCACGTTCGTGGGGAAGTCTACAGCGGTTGTTCTATGAAAAGACATGCCCACCCCACCCCCTAACCCATGGTGAAATGTGGACTTTTCACCACCGGATTAGGGCTGTGAACGGGAGATGAGCATTGCCTCCATGCTCATTTGAGCAGAAAACCATTCGTGAATATACAATACATCTCTCCTCGACTGTTATGCCCAAGGGCAGGTCCCTGACTCGATTCCCCACCACACCCCATCCCATCTGACCTCGTCCCACCTTCCTGCCTCCCTTAGCCATTCGTCTTCACCTCGCAATACCACGCATCACACTCCAGGAGACCATCGTCTGTGTGTGTGTCTGTATAATTGTGTGTGTGTGTGTATAACTGTGTGTGTGTGCGTGGGGAGCGGTAGTGCAGCGGTTAGCGCTATGCTGCGCTATGAACCCGGAGACACGGGTTCGATTCCCGCTCACGACCAACACCAGTGACGATTATCTGAACCGGTCCTGGGCCTCCCCTAGGTCGACTCAGCCTGAAATGAGTACCCGGTGCGGTGTGTAAACATCGCCACTGGGGAGACAAAGGCGGTCGGGCGTGGTGCTGGCCACCCACCCCCTCGTGTACCGTTCTGGCCTTCATAGGTGCTCGCTAACAGCACTTGCCCCTACAGCCTGTTAAGGCTATATGGGGGATCTTTGTGTGTGATTGGGGAGCGGTGGCGTAGCGGTTAGCGCTACGCTGCACTACGATCCCGGCGTCCCGAGTTCGATTCCAGCTCACGGTCAACATCAGTGACGATTATCTGAACCGGTCCTGGGCCTCCCCTCAAATGAGCACCTGGTGCGGTGTGTAAACATCGCCACTCGGGAGACAAAGGCGGCCGGGCGTGGTGCTGGCCACCCACCCCCCTTCCTATGCAGTGCCGGCCTTCACAGGTGCTCGCTAACAGCACTTGCCTCAACAGTTTGGTAAGGCTATATGGGGATCTTTGTCTTGTGTGACATTAAAACGCATCCGGTGATGAGGAAGACAAGGGGAAACCACCTCACCTATCTTTCCCCATCAATGGTACTCAACATAAAGTACATATATCGCTTAAATGCAAAGACAAAGATCCTTTATTTCGCATTATAAATTGTCCGGGCAAGTTCTGCTCGTGAGTACCTGCTCAGGCCAGCAAGGCTCATCAGAGTGTTGTGGCCAGCATCACAACAAGCAGTCTCCCCAATGTCGACTGCACTGCACCGGGTACTAAATTACTAAATGAAGGTTGAGGCAACGCTGGGGAGACAAGGGCCGGTTGAGATAATCGCCACTGATCTGAGCCATGGCTTTGGAATTCAGAATCAGAATATTGAATCATCCTGGAGGAATCCGATGAGCTGTGAAGCTCTTTTTCACCACGTGACCTGTAAGGACGTTGCAGGTCACGTGGTTTGTAGTGAAACGTGCTGGCCACTAGATGTCCACTTCCCACAACACTACACATACCTATACACACGTACATACACAGGCACATTTAACTTTAACACTTAACAATCAATCCGGGAAGGATAATGGAGTGAGCCAACCTACAACCAGGATTTGAACTCTGAACTTTCCGACATGGAGTTGCTTGCTCTCGCGACGAGCCACCTATCTGCTTATTAATATTAAACGTAACAATCCAACGTAATGGAAATACATTGTCACAAAAAACACATTTTTGCAATCACTTCCTTACATATGTTACAATGTTAAAAATAACA